CTTACGTTATCTCCTAACTACTATTGGCTATCAGGCATTGGAGGGGGTTGGTCCCTGTCTTTCCGTACATCCCGAAATCTTCCGAACGCCAGGCCCTGTCTACCCACATTTCCCCACTCTCCATGCCATATAAAGCAGGCTGTAATCTAAGAAGTGCAAAATACTGTCATAGAGGTCACAGAGGTCAAAGGTTTTTAAGGCTCAACGAGTGGCTTAAAGGAAGCCTAGAGAGGTAGAGAGAAGTGTCTTAACACTGAGGTATAGAATTGTGAGTTAGTGCAAAACTATGCGGAACTACTTTGGTTTAAGGCATTATTTGCAGCATTTGCTGCTGTTTGACCACTATGATGTCGATGGATTTAAGGTGGTTCTCAACAAAGGACACGAGCTTGTTAAAAATGCAGGGTCTGAAAATCAGTGCTAAGAGGAGTATTACTATGGGACCGATAAGAGAGGATAGCAAGGTGGTGAGCCATGGTGATTGATCAAACAGTGATGTGAACCAGTCCTGCAATTCCCTGTCCTTTTTTACACTTTCTAATCTCTCTTGCAGCTTGGCCATGGTGTCTTTCACTAACCCTGTGTGGTCTGTGAAAACGCAGCACTCCTCTTTAAGAGCAGTGCACAGCCCGCCCGCTTGTAAGAACAGAATGTCCAGTCCTCTGTGATTTTGCAGAACCACCTCGGACAGTGACTTAAGTGAGTTCACGAGAGCTGTTATGGACTCTTCAATTCGGGATATGTCCTCATCTGTTGCTACCTTTAAAGCGCCGAATTCCTTGTTCTGACGTACCAGGGACGCTATTCCTGTCCCTGCTCCGGCACCTCCTGCAAGCATCAGTACGGCTACGGTCAATGCTATATTGGGCTCCCACTTTGTCAAGTGGTGGTCTGGGACAGTCATGGAATCGTACACATAGCTCTCTGGGTGGAAATAGATCTTGGGGATTACTGTCACTTGGACACAGTACTCTGAGGATTTGTCGAACACCTTTAAAGATATGCAAGGGGTGAGTCCTGTAGAGGAACAGGCCCACTTAGTGTTAATGGCCGGGATTAACCATTTTGCTTGGGTTGTGTAGTATACTTTCCTAATGCATAATTGCCTTTTATGTTGCGGGATTTGGCCTACGCACATCCCGCTGCCGACTATTTCTGTGAGTGTGATGCTTTGTCTGTCCATTTCCCACAGACATTGGGCTGGATTATCGCTGTAGGCTTGTATGGGCGTGTCGTTTATTGCTACGCCTTGGTAATAAGGTGGTTGCACTCCGTAACGGAGCCAACAGTGTTGTGTGAGGTTCAGGTGGGTTTTGTTCAGAACTTGGTAACTAGCTTGTATCAATTTCCAAAGTGGATGTGTAGCACTGGAAGTTGGACTGCTAAAAGTGTGCGGTGTCGCGGGTGTTGTAGGGCGAGTGGTCTGCCTGGGGGTCGTTATACGTGGTGTCTTGGGCCAAGGGTCGTT